AGATTCTGTACTGAATGATTATTATTCCATATTCAGAGTGATTTTTATCCTCTGCAATGAGACATCCCACTGTTGCAGGAGATACGCAACAATCTATGGCACGTTAGCATCTATCAAACTGAGGTCTTTAAAGCTTCATCTTTTACAGCAGTTACCCTGCCACAGGGCAGTATACCCTTCTTTTACATTCCATCTTGGCTCTGCCTATGAATATCTCATGTAAACAAGGTCATCTTTACCACAAGGCCAAAAAAGTAGGGCAATTCCCACAAGAAGATGTAGTTATTCTCATTTTCTTCACTGCCTGATACTTTTACTATCACTTTATTCTTTTTAAGAGGATAATTTTAAAGTGTAACTTCTTCCTGCGCAGGATTCTCTTCACTTTAATAATTACCATGTTAATGAATTTATTGTTACTACTTCCCCCAATTTCTATTTTTGGTTAAATTGTTGCCTGCTTGTTATTGTCTACTGGGACCTCCGGAGGGACAATGCGATCTGGCAGCCTAACCACAGGAACAGAATCCAGGAACTGCAGAGCTGTATTCCAGTTCTACCAATGAGCAATGATTAATTGGTAAGAAATGCCACTCAGTGGCAATAACAGCCAACAACAGCACTCAACTGCACATTTCAGCACACATTTAAATAAAGTCCTGATCCTTCACTCACTAGCATCAATGGCAACACTCCTGCTGATATCTATGTGGGATCAAATGACCTTCTGAGCAATTTGCCCAGATAGTTATTAGCCAAGTGACAGGAGTGTATAGTGTGTTTCTATTCTCACTGAACTCCTGCAGCAACACTCGGATTTCTCTCAGTACACATCAATATGCAAAACTGAAGATACATTAGTATCTTCTCCTCCACTAACACAACGAATTCTCGCTGTTTTGGCATGACCGTCTTGGACTGAAGAACATTCTGTGGCTTTTTTTTTCTATTGCCTTTTGTTTTTCTAACATACTGGGAGACCAAAATGCTTTCCAGTTTTTCTGAATTAACTTATGCCTTAAATTATCATAAAATATCTCTTGAATTGTCTTCAGCACCTGCAAAGCATTTGGCTTTCCCCTTGGATCTCATAGCTTCACTGCCACCCAAAAACTATGGCAAAAGATGATATTAAATTGAAATATACTCCCTTTCTGGGGGCACAGTTCTGCGTGCAGATCTTGCCATGACTTGCAGTTCCATAGCTGCATTCCTGGCAACCTGCTGTTTATATCAACACCTCAGTAAATGCAAATCAGAAGTGAATGTAAGCAGAGTCTGAAAAGGAAACTGTAAGGCAAATTTATTACAGCAAACAATACACTCAGTACAAGATGAGGAAGCACCAAGTTAACAGTCCAACTCACAAAAACAGATGTGGACTTCCTAGTGACCACATGCAGTCTGAGCCTCTCGTTTCCTCAGTACATGTAGCTCTTCCCCAGTAACCTTCTTGTACGTAAGGATTCATTTGCTCTACCACATTTTCCAGTTGTCCACAAGAAAATTTACACATATCCACTACTTTTAAATGTATTATGTGCATGAAATTTCACAGTATGACTCTACACACACATCTAAAAGTATTTTACACAAATTTACATTGGAAATTCCCTGGTCTTTTGAATTTAATGACACAATTTCCTATAATTTCTACAAAGACAGGATTTCAGACAAAATGTGAGGCTTGGGATGCTTCCAGAACATTCAGATAGGTACTGATCCCCACATTTCTGCAATAATTTCTACATAATTTTAATCTGTTCCAAGCATTATTTGATGCCAATTCTCACTTTACTATGCAGACTGTACATCACCAATGCATCTAACAAAATATGCAGAAGACACCCTTAAATAACCTTGATATTTATCACGTGTAATTTACTCTGGTACCATATGACATATTAGTTCTGCATGTGCATGTGCACACATGCCAGAAATAAGTTGATGAGGAAAAACCTGATTTTTCAGTACGTTTTACTAGACGCAGCTAAGAATAATAAAGTCCTTTAGAAATAATAAATATGAATAAACTTGATAGACTCGTCTAATTGATCTACAAGTAGGACATGTTAGAGAGAATAGCAGCTCCCGGTGCTGCAAATATGGCCAAGCATGGCAAGTTCAGGACTACCCAGGGCAAGTTCTACCAACTGGAAAACTGCAGACATTCTACAACCTGCTTTTTCAGTACCTTATAGCTTGGGTGCCAGACCTTAAGAAGTCTCCTTCTTTAATCAACTCAAACAAATGGATCTTCTCAATCATCATGTTCAAAAATTGCTTCTAAAATTAATTCTTATTAATAGATTTTATTGATTTACTTACTATTCAGTTACTTCTGAACTTGACCGTACTCATTCCTTCATACGCAAAGATGCGCCTGTGGACCAGTGTATTCAGTAGTTAATGAACAAAGGTGTTCAAGCAAATATCACAAATAAATGCCTCAACAGGTCAAATTTTCTGTTTGTATTAATACTGGGATTGAGGGGAAAATATAATGTATGTAAAATGTAAAAACAACCCTGTATCAGGTTATCTTACTTTTTTTTTTAAGCGTATCCATCATACACAGAAATAACTACATCTTGAGGATGAAGAACTTACGAAGTGGGTTTAACATCTTTCTCAGGTTAACCTGAAAAAGAGCCTTAAACACCTTAATATGTGAGTGCATGTACCACACACCCACTTAAGGACACTGGTGGTACATACATATAATCGCACAGAAGCACGCAGAAGACAACTAATTCCAACTGAGTACAGAGGTGACTTAACATAAAAAAAAAAAAAAATCCCATTTTTTGTCTTCCTAGCCTCAGGGACAGCACTTGAGAACCACAGTTTAGCTGTCATGCCTGTCACTCGCTCTGTAACCTGGTATGTCTGAATTTCAGGTAGCAGAAATTCAGCTCTGTAAAAATTATGCAGCAATTATCTCCATATATTTTCATTTAAATCACATGAAATGCATTTTCAAGTGTGGCCTAAGTCTAAATAGGACCAGATAATGTAAATTGGCACATGTGAAAAAATCAGGATATATTCTTTTAACACCTCTGTTTAAATAACTCGCCAGCACAAACTAAATAAATAAATTTCCCTTAAATTTACAGATACTCCTCTATTGACTTCCATATGCATCATACTTCTAAACACACACAGATCCAACTGGGGAATAAGTTATTTCCTAGAGAAGTAAAGAACACAGACTAGAACAAAAAAGACCAATACTCCAGTTTCACAGAGGATTAATGGAATTATTGTAACTAATAATTAGGACTAAAAAGACAAGTATTCTGGAATGACAGAGAAAAAAAAATCTTTAAAGAATACCTAAGCATGTTTAGCATAATCTATTATATTTTCAGTGTTTTAAAAATGTGTGTTTTCAGCCATAGTGTTTATTAGCACGTGAAAAGATTAAGAATGCCCTCTGAAGCCTACTGGCAATATTTTGCTGTTCACTTCATTGTTCAAGGCAGGGAGCAGATGACAGTACTGAAGGACAGCACACTGTGCCCCAGGGAGCTGCTCCCTCTTTTCTGTGGAAAGGGGCAACCTGGCCAGCCCAGACTAGGGTTCCAGGAGAGCGGCAGGGACCACACGTTGGCATTTGCAACAGAAAAGAGACTCCAGGGAGTGTTGCCCATGAAAAGATAAATCAAGATGTGTGAAGACGAGACAAACATTTGACACTGAGCTCTCGGCCTGAGGTACAGAAGGCGATATGTGCATCTGCAAATATCTTAAATACAGATTATGGGTCATGCACATACATAGCTGATACATGTTTATCTAGTATATTGGCCAAATATAAGTATTATAACTTATGATATCTTGATATTCAAATCTATTGAAGGTGCAATATGCTCCATTAGTCTTGATGAAATTAAAAATCCTGAATTAGTTCTGATAAACACTAGGAAGTCTGTCAGTTCATTCTACATGTAAACATAACCGAACACACTATACTATTTTCTTACGAAACCAATGTTTTCAAAACAAATTCATGAGACACAAGTTCTGTCCTAGGCAGGGTTTGGTGCCATGCTTAACTGTACATGTACATTTGTTATACACATTCCAAAAAGTAACTGGGACTTTTTCAAAGTTGGACTTCTGTGAGTGGAGATTAACTGTGAGTGAGACCTGCAAGGTCTACTTGCGCACACAGCCTTCTGCCTACACTGCTGTTCCTTCGGAAAACTTAAGTGGGGCCGGTATTTCATTGTTCCTACCTAGTGTTCTCTGTAAATTTTGTCCTAGTAACGGACGAGGGATACTTGCACAAGCCAATGAAGGACCAGAAAACCACCCGTGAGGAAAAGTGTTTATCCTTATGAATGAGCAGAAAACGGAGGGACCCTTCACCCTATTTTTCTTCAACATAGCTGAAGTTCAGCAATTAACTTCATTTATAATGTGACGATAAAAATCACCTTTCAATCACACCGCGCTCTCCAGTTACAACCACCGTGTCACCAACCCCTCTCCCGACACGAGTAACTCTCCGGGGGTCTCGTTCCCGCACGGAGCTCCGCTCTCAGCACCGCTGTCCACCCGCCAGGGCTGGGACGGGCGCCCTACGCCGGACGTCTCGGAGGGGGCTGCAGCCCCGGCAGCGGGCGGGACTCCGCCGCGCCAACCCGTCGCCCTCCCCCCCGGCCCCGTCCGCGGCCCTGGTCCCTCACCTCCGTCCTCCTCCAGGGAGTTCATGCAGGGGAAGTAGACCGCCAGCGCCTCGAAGGAGGCGGAGAGGCTGCTCCGGCTCTGCGACCGCTGCATGGTGCGTCCGCCGGCCGCCGTCTGCCGGCCCATCTTGGCCGAGCGGCACCCGCCTTTGGCGCGGTACAAGAAGCGCGGCGTCTTGGCGGCGGGCGGCGCGGGGCGGAGCGGCGCGGCGCGGAGCGGAGCTGGGGCAGCGGCGGAGCGGCGCGGACGGGAGCGAAGCCCTCCGCGGGCACTCCGTGCCGCTAGGGCTGAGGGTGGCGGGGAGCGCTGGAAGGGCTGCGTGCGGGGGAGCTCAGCTCTGTCGGGTTCTGCCCCGCTGCCACCGCCGGCGCCGCTGCTCACGGCGGGTCGAGCCGCCGCAGCCAGCACGGGGCCGCCTATTAGCCGGCAGCGTAAGTCACCGGGGCTGAAGGGTGCAGTGCACGGTGCCCGTCGTGCGAACCTCGCCGGCGGGGCCGGCTGTAAATACCGACCCAGGCGGAGGGAGGACCGGGAAGAGTCGCTGGCCGGTGTCGGCGGGCCGTCCCGCAGGCACCGCCCGCAAACTTTGTTCCTCCCCTCTCGGTGCCCGCTGGGCCGACAGTTGTCCCCAGCGCGGCTGGAGGCGGGAGAGGAGAAGGCGGCGGGAGAAGGGGCGGTCCCGGTGCCTCGCCAAGGCGTGGAGAGCGCCTCGGGGGCACAATGGGCAGACCAGGATGGTGACCTCTGGCACCGGTCCTTGCCGGCACGGCTCACCTGCAGCCAACGGCCTGCGCTCTGGCGGTACTCGTAGGGAATTGTCACTGAACCACAGAAGGGTTGAAGTTGGAAGGGACCTTTGGAGGTTATCGGGTCCAACGGCCCTGCTCAAGCAGGGTCATCTACAGCCAGTTGCCCAGGACCGTGTCCAGCCAGCTCTGACTATCTCCAAGGGTGGGGACTCCACAGCCTCTCTGGCAGCCTGTGCCAATGCTCAGGCACCCTCACAGCGAAAAAGTATTTACTGTTGTTCAGATGGGCCTCCTGTGTTTCAGTCTGAGACCACTGCTTCTGTCCATGGGCCAGCAGGTGGTGATCAATCAGCCCTGCAAGTAACAGGCAAATCCTAATCATCGACTTCTAAGCCATGATGTTCTTCTCTAAAGCACACCTGCCTCCCTTAGCAAACGTGTTTATCTTTTCTGTATTCACAGGATAATAGGATGATAGGACAAGAGGGAATGGCTTTAAGCTGAAAGAGGGTAGATTTTGATTAGCTATTAAGAAGAAAATCTTCACTGTGAGGGTGGTGAGATGCTGGAACAAGTTTCCCAGAGAAGCTGTGGATGCCCCATCCCTGGCAGTGTTCAAGGCCAGGTTATAAGAAGCTTTGAGCAACCTGGTCTAGTGGAAGGTGTCCTTGCCCATGGCAGGGGTGTTGGAACTAGATGATCTTTAAGGTCCTTTCCAACCCAAACCATTCTATGGTTCTATGATTCTGAATCTATGATTCACGCATAGCTTGACACAGAATTTTTGATTAAATTTTATTTCCCTATTTTCCTCACCACTATTTAACATTATCTTTCTTTTCTGTTTATCCAGTACATCATATTACTCAAGTCTATAGTATTTGGCAACCTTCCCCACAAAATGATAAGAAACTACAGCACTGCACATCATTAAAAAGAGGTACTAGCTACTGTAACATCTTTTTGTTCTATAGTTCATGACAGTGCAAAAGCGGTATCGAGCCTTGCACATGGCTGTTGTTCACTTCCTGTCCCTTTAGGCAGTAATGATAGTAAATGTGGTATTTCTTTTAGCTTGCTTTCAGAAGTCCTTAAATCCCCTAAAATAATGGTAAACTATACTTAGGGTTTGATCGTACAAACTTAGCAGACAGAATGGCATCTTGAAGCCAACTGAAAGGCTTCATGAAGAACGTGAATAGAGTCACACCCCAGAGCATATTTCATTGAGTTGATATTTGGAAAGAAATATTTGTTCCTGGAAAATAACAAGAGATTGTAAACAGCCAACACTATTACTCTCATGCTTTGCTAAAGAATGAAAGCTAATCAAAACTTCAGCACTTGGGGATGGAACCCATCATCACTTGATCTACAGGGAAACAGTGAGTTTTGACAGCTATTTGTACAGTATGCACAATTTTTCATTACTAGATACCTATAATCTATTATTCCTAATAACACGTTTCATATGACACATAGGCACTTATTTTAGAATAACATAAATTCTCTTTTCCTCAGCACTAGCCATAAATGATGTCCATGACAACTTGTATAGGCTTTAACATCTTTTAGATGTCTTATTCAGGTCATACTCCAAAATGTGTATTTAGGTGGTCATTCTACATAAGTTCACATTTCTCTGGTTTTCACCTTCCAACACATCTGTGACACTTTGCTGGTTATGAAGAGGGTGAGCTGCCACAGCAGACACCTTCCTCATATGCCACGGGCAGGCCCATAGGCAGGCAGTGATCACAGAGACTACTGAGCCACTCCAGCTTGAAGTGGATGCCTGGTTAGCCTGCAATGCCTCAAGCATTTCCTCTAAAATTACCCTTTGCATTTGTACTAGCACTACACCACATTACAGCATATTCCAGTTGCAGACTGAACTGCTTTTGTTTACAGTTTACTCTAAAATGGCTATAAAGCAAACAGCTCTAAAATAAATTATGATAGTAATAATAATAAAACTAATATACAATTATCATGTAATTGGCAAAGCTCAATAAAACATGCTGAAGCAACTGCTAAATACATCTTTAAATGACTTGGTGACTGTAGAATTTTCTATCTATAAAGACAAAAGCAGACAAAATAACTTCCTTCAGCATTTTAGCAGTGTAAGATGTGGCAGAAAAGTAAATGTCTGTGTCTTGATTAAGTAATAATTCATGACTACTTTTGAGAAGTTGGATGCAAAAAAAGAAGTTAATGTTCATTATATTTCAGCTAAGCTACTGCTGACTTACATAAAAACAGCTGAATAAAAAAGGCATTGAGGATGCAAGAAAGGCAAAACAACATTTGGTGGACTCGGAGATATTTACAAAGATACAGGCAAACTGCAGGATACATATTCAAAGAAGTGCAACTGATTTGCAACATCTGTTTAAGATACTTTCACTCCCATTTTTAAACATTCCTTTTGTAAGTACTCCCTTTAGAAGTACCCTTTGTAGAAGAAATAACACCTGCTTAAGAGCCAGCAAGCTTTCAAGCAGTCTGTTCTTATTTTCCTCCCCAAACAGGAGGGTACGCACCTCTGCCACTTCCCTCTAAGCTCCAACTTCCCCAGAAACTGGGAGTCCCCCTCTGACACAGAGGCCTGATGTCCCATTGTGACATGGCCATTGCAGGGGTGGTTGACACACTGCACCAAAAGAGATGCTAATGGAGCACTTGGTGATGTGTGGCCTGGTGGGAATTTGGCTGTGCCCTGGAAGCTTGCCACAATGCCAGGGCCCTACATTGCCCCACAGGACTGAGCAAGACCTAGCAGCCACAGCAGTTATAATCAGTTGAAGTACTTTATGTACTGTAACACAATACATAAAAAAACTTGTTACTGTCATGTCATTGGTAAAATTGAAGAAAATCACTTCAAATATTCCCCAGTCCGTAGCTGATTCCGAATTACTCCAAATAGAGGTTGCAATACAAGACACCCATTCAGCAGATCTGTGGCAAAGAATTGGATCACAATCCCATCCAAGGTCCCTCAATATTATTCTCTCTCTTGTTTTTTGTTTTTTTTTTTTTTTTTAAAGTAAAGGTTTAAAAGGAAGAATGAAAACAGAGACAAAAAACTGAGATAAGAAAGCTATAAATTGTCAGGATTCTGGGATTTGGGGAGGCTGTCCTCAAATTGCTAATGGTTGCATTATGCAAATATTCTAATTGCTAGCAATCTGGACACATGCCTTGACTGAAGAAAACAAGTTTACGACCCTGAGTTTTTAACTTTTAACTGCTACTAACTGGTTTGTGTTACCAGTTGCAAATGAATCAAATTGTTGTTAAAGGAACTGCATCCAAACTCCCATCTCAATGCGCAGTATCAAGACTCCCGGGTATCATATTGCTTTAACATTTTCTGATAGCTTGCTGAAAGAACAGTACAATGTAAGAATCCAGGTCAAACAGAACAAGGTCAAACATCTGCTATAAATGTATGCACTGTCCTAAGGCAAGTCTATTTGTAGAGTTGGATATATTATAAAATATCTTGGTGGCTTATCTACCAAACTAGAAAACCAAATGCTTACTATTAAGCAATTACTGAAAAATGTCATGCAACATGAATTTGTAGATCTTCAGTGCCAGCCTGCTCTAAATATAGCCAGCCAATAATGGGATTCTGAATTTAATAAACACATCTTTATATTTGGGAATGGGACTGACATAATGACCATTCCTACATTGCTTATATGTCAGGCAATCAGATATAAGTTTTCTAAATTCTGGGGTTGTTTTTTAATCAGTAAATTTTGGATTTTCTGAGCATTCCCTACTAAGCAGCCTTAGATAATGCAGCCACACTTTTCCATCTGCTTATGTGGTAATGCAAATTTTGCCACTCTCTTAATTCTTTTGGCATATTCTACTATAAGGTCAACTCCACCCCAAACATCAAACTAGGTAACACAGTACAGATTTCTACCAAAATAGCTCTGCTGACCGACAGCTGTTCCAGGATAATTCCCTAGTTGTTAGTGCAAGAGCGGTTATATCAGCAAAACAGGATTCTCCTAGAACTGCTTGTTTTGCATGCCCACATTAGGACTTATTTGCTGGTACCCAATTCCAGTATTCCTACACTGGAAAACTGCTCCCATTACCTTAACAGTACCCGCAGAACTCTACTTTTAAGTGATTTAGCCCTGTAGGGGCAAAGTCTTGCACATTTTCAGAGGATACAAATTTGAAGAGATGAAGGAAATTGCTTTCATTATGTCTCTTCCAAAACCACAGATTTCAGTTTCTGAAAATGAAATTGGGAATTAAACATAAATCATGTTTTAAAATGAAGAAATTAAAAAGTAGTAGGATTTTTTTTTTTCCTGGAAACATAGGATGCTTTCACATCCATGGAGATATAGGTTTCATTTCTTGAACAACGTAGTAGCATTTCTTGTCCTGCAGTTGGCATTGCCTTCTGTAATGAACATGAAGGCAATCTGTATCTCTTGGTTTAATGCTAATATTAGTCACATGTGAAAGCTGTCTTTTATTATTTAAATATATTTAACTTTCCCCTCCAAAGTGTATGATAAAACCACAATATCAAAATAAAGTAATAATTTTCCTAAATAACAGAGGGAGCTTTTTATGGGCTAGCATGCAGCAATGCAGTATAGCTAGCTCACAAGTATCTAAGAGGTCAGAATTGGAGCAGAAAAACTTTACACAGCTGAGTATTTCTATTTTGATTAAAATAATTTCACACCTTCATGATCACAAGGTAATCTGCAAACCACAAGGTGTCATAGAGCTTAGCAAAACATATTACTTCATAATGCTTCATCAGGGTGAGAAGCAAAGAGCACAGAAATAAAATGTACATGCCCTTCTAAGGAAAAAGTGGTTTAGAGAAAGAAATTCACAGGAAACATATTAAGCTGTAAAAAAACCAAAAACCAGACCCAAACCAAGTGTTATTTGTTTTGGTTTTTTTGGGGGGGTGTGGGTGGGTGCATACATGGAGACTATCCACTCTCTCTACTTAGATCCCAATCTGCTGTTTTGTCTCTGAGAGTAACCTTCTTTATAATTCATCAGACCCATGAGCTTAGAAACAAGCTGCAGTTATTCATGTATACTCTCAAATCAGCTGCCTGTGTACTTCACCGAAGGTTTTCTAAACATCTTAGATGAGGACAGTGTAATTAGTTTCTGAAACTGTAACTTCATGAAACATGATCTGTTTCCCTCTATAATTGAGTCTTCTGCATAGAAGGGACAAAACCAGCACAGAACTATTAGCAATTGAGTAGCCTGTGGCGCACGCTGTACTGCACAACGAATGCAGCCGGTCAATGCACCTGTGTTGATGCAGCAGTCTGCTGATGTTACTTAAGAAGATATACTGTGGAAAATCACACAATGATCTTTATGCTTGAGCTTTTCTAGAAAAAAAAAAAAAAAAAAAGCCCCTACTGAGATGAACAGTACAAACAGCATGTGAAAATGTCAAATGAAAACAACAAGATGAAAAGTGAGGTCTGTACCTGTCATGCACTGTTCGCTGCACTCAAGGACTGCAGTGTCTAGAGAGCACAGTTTGCTGAGGACATCACTGCTACCATGCAGGTCTGGTTCGATTTGTTTGCCATATAAGAGTATTACATTATCATCAACAGGTGAAATCTTTGGTGAGTCCAAATGTCAGCATTGTAAAGAGACATTTGTCTTGCAAGTCTGTAATGTAATTTTGATATAATCTGCAGAAGGTTAATGTATAGTAAGAGGGGATGATTTTGCAAAGTTTTGTGCCCATTATCTGTTTTTCTTGAGACCACAGACTGTGTTTATTGGAAACAGCCCTATGCATTATTTCAGCGCAGAACAAGAGGTTTTCTGAGGCTCCTCCTGCTGTGCAAAGCCCTGCAGAGACGTGCTATATCTATTTTGTAAATCGTGCTCTTTCATGTTGCCTGCACTGTGTACTCCACAGGTGACCAGCTCCACTGGTCAGCCATCCTAACTTCCACTTACATCCTTACTGTTAGTGCTATATGGTAGATGGGAATCTCTAAAGTCTGAAAGTGCCAGAACACCCATGGAAACCTCAACATTTTAATGAGCACAAAAAAAATTCACTTCTTACAGGACCAAATATATGTGGTGTGAAAACTTTTAAGTCTTAATGCAGATTTTACAAGGGCACTGTCTTTAAAGAACCTAGTTCATTAATGAAACACCTTAATTTTAATGGTCAACTCTAAACTCATTGACAAGAATCGGAGTCAGCTGATGGGCACTGCGATCCACCCAGAAATAACAGTAAAAAGATACTGCCCCAGCAAAGTCTAAGTGATCAAGAGGAAAGACATATATGTTTAGCGACCTTGTTAGCTGTCTTGTTTAACTGACAAAATCACAAATTTAGTTTCATTTTGTCAGTTTTCACACTGTTTGTATCTCTGGCAGAGGAATGTGTGCTGTTGTCATTACACTGCTCTAATTTCCATGGTGTTTGAGTCACAGCAGTGTCTCTTCAGCCACGATAATGCCATCAGTGAATCCCACAATACCACTGCTGCCGAAAAACAATTTTATTTTTCCTCTTTCATTTGTTTTTATTCTGGTAATCCACAGTTATGTCTACATGAGTAGATACAATATCAAGTCACATTCTGATGCATGGGAACTAGATTATTTTACTGCTACATTTTTAGAAGAGTCTATAGCACAGTATTGGCTTGAAAATCTAGAACACCTCCAATAAAGCTGTGGTTCAGGAGTTAAAATGGGCCAGAAACCACTTCCAAAGGGCTGTTTTGGAGGGTGGCAGAGTATCACAGTATGGATGTGGGTAACTCTGTGCCAAATGGACTCGGTGCCAGAGAACAATCCTGTGTGTTTTAATGCTGTAATACAGCGGAAATCTATTTCTCTCAGATATGACACAATTACATATTTACAACTGCCAGGCAGAAACTGGATTGCAGGTACAAAATATGAAGTTATCTTGCCAAACAGCTAATCTGGCTTCAGAGTCACTGTTTCATGTTAGCTGTTGAAAGCCAGTAAACCACACTATCGCTATATTAATGAGTTCAAATATGATTCAAAACACCATATGTTAAGTTTTAATTGGTGTGTACAACCTGAAACTCTTAGAAACTTTTCATTCATATAGGATTGCATGCAAGGCCTCACTGGACATCTTTTCATAATTTCATATTTAAGGACTGAGAATAACAGACAGAAAACACTAAAATTCTAGTGTGCTAGAACTAGTATGCTATTACTACTATTACTCTTGTTATTAGAAGTAGTAGTACTAGCTAATACTGACTAAAGACCAGATGTGCTGATAAAAGTTTGTTCCCAAGCATGGCCCGTGTTGGATTCTGAAAAATGCTGGACAACTTTAGCTTCTTTGCTTATATTGGCCTTTAAGAAATAAAATTTACTTCTCCATCTAGTAAGGTGTCCCATCCGAGATGATCTAAAAATATACTTTCCAAATTTTCCTCATATATATGGTTCAATATCTTTCAGGAATAATTTAGGCTGTCACCTGAAGTGTAAATGACTGAAAATAGAAGAGGTGAAGGAAAGATCATTGATGTCAACCTCAAGCCACTTTTGTTCATCTGCAAAAGCACCCATAATCATAGTCCATGAATAATGTTCACAATTTTGACCAATTTTCTGTGGATTATGCTATATTTGCTATTTGTCTGCATGTCAAAATCAGCTAGCTAATTTGTGTTGTCATATTTAGTCAACTTTTGCATAATGCTAGAAGACCAAGAAAGCTTGGACCTGAATATAGAAAAAGACTTTTGAGTTTTTGCACATAAGAGCTTTCAGTCTGAAAGGCACAGCAGATGGAAAACACAGCCTTCAGAATTGGAAGAAATGGCACCAAATTTACACCATCCCCATAGAGTCAGCAGCAAAAATTTCCTGCTATATCTGGATAATCTCCATCAGCATACAATATTTCAAATTATTAGCAAGTAACATCCCACTAATCTGTGCCTACCTATATATAAGAGATTGTGTCAATTTCCATTTTGCTAGTGGCTTACTGAAGTGAGGACTAAGATTTCCTCAGTGGAAGGGAAAGTGAAATGTGTGCCTTCATCTCCTTGTATTACCTATTTTAAATAAATCCCATCACTGCTATAATTTTAAGAAAAAGAGGTCTATTTAACAGTACAGAAATCCAGTAATTGTATTCTTTTTCAAGGTTCATGGCAGTCCCCACTGCTAATGATGACTCATATAAGTGCAAAGGTGTTTCTCCAGGCTAGAGAAGGAAATAGCCTCTAACTTAAAAGAAAGTAAAGATAAAAAGGAGTATCTGAACAATTCATGCTGTGTGACATAATGTGTTTACTTATGCAGCACAATGGAGCTGGTACTTCAGTCCCAGCTTGGATATTGGAAACTACATCAGTGCTGGGTTTGGCCAGGCTCCATAGTTTGGCGGAATAGGTCACTTGTTTGTCTGAAGTCAGCTAAGATAGTTGTGACCCTACTATGCTGCGTGGCACTGGCATGCACCAAGATTCATCTTATTTCACTTCTGCATATTTAAAGTAGGAGTTTAGTTTAAGCCAGCTGCCTAAACTCCCTCTTTAGTCAATGGACAAAAATTTGAAATAATCTGATTGTAGCAGATTGCAAAGCCAGAGTACCAACTATGGCAAACGAATGGACTTTTAGTCCTGCAGCAGTTAACAACCAATGTTAACTGAAAATAGAAAACCTATGGACTCAATTAGAAAGCACATATAGCCACAAAAATAATAGAACCAAGCCTAGAAGGTGACGTAATCCCAAATGACTGATACTGCTGGTGACTGTCAGCTATGTGAAAGAGGTTCTCAAACCTTTCTGTACTAATACAGTAAAGGCACATCAAGTTTTGAACTCAAAAGAATGTAGAGAGGTGCAGCTCACAACTTCTGACTTACCCACCAGGAAGCCCATGGGCCAGTTTAGAGAGAGATCAAATAGGCAGCTTGCCTCCTACCTCCCAGCCCAGCTGGAGATGCCTGGCTATACTCCGACTGCCCCTTTTATAGTACAGGCTTGTGTGTCTGTGTATATGCACATGTCTATTCACATTCATATATAGAAATACACACAGACATATATGTAACAAATGCTATCTTGTGTATATTGACACACACTTGTGTCTAGATCATATTTCAATGGTTTTATACTGCAGAAAGTGTAGGAGTTGATGACAGACTGAAAAAATCTATCAGGATGACAGCCCATCTGTTTGCCATATCTCACAGAAAACATCTATTTAACTTAAAATTTTGTTCTATATAAATGATATGTTAAAATAACCCTCTAATATTCAATATAACTAAGTTTTTATTAAAAATATAAGACTGCTCAGTCTTTCTCCATAAATTTCAGCTGAATAGTACATAAGCTGTTCTGCAGAGGACCTGAGAAACTCTCCCACTTCTGGAGGTATCTGTCAGGAACTCTGGGTTCTCAGAACCCTAAAAGTCAATCCAATAATTCATTGCTTATTTCTTCCTCCTCTACCCCACTCTTTTTGTTTCAGAAACAAAATAAAATAGATGCACATTTTGTTAATTAAAATTCCTTTTTTTTCTTTTCTTTTTTTTTTTTTTGGTATGAATAGTGTCCATTGTTATTTTCTAAAATAATCTTTTGTGGATTTTAACAAATGTCAGCTTTCATAAGGATTCTACACCAGCATTCTTGTTTAGAGAGCTCTACCAAATTCAGTTAGAATAGAAGCAACCCTCAAATGCAGATGAGTTATTTGAATACAGTTTTTTACATCAGCCTGTTATGCAGTGCATCACACAGTTTTCTTCATTTTACAACTTGGGCCTTTAGTTAATGTTTTAATATAGTTAATAAACTTTTAATTTTCTCTATATGCTACCCTCATTCAGTCCCACCATATTTAATAATCTTAATATCTTTGTGTTTAGTTTGGGAAATCTTCAGATCCATTTAGGTAATTTAATATATAGATGAGTCAGTTCTGTCTGCCTGAAAAAAGGAAAAAAATTCTCTAACACAATTGTGACAAACTACTATACGAGGATATTTTTTCTCATAAATATTTAGAGAATGTTTTGAATTTTAATTTAAACCTTATTTTGCTCTGCAAAAAGTGGTATGCAACAGAAGGGCACAGACTGCACTGTTAAACTGTGGCTTTGCTTTGCACCTGCGCAAATATGGAGTTACTTCAAGAACCTCTCTAGATTAGCACTGATTTTGAGGTTCCATAGAAGTATGTCAGGTAAGCATAGAAATCAACTGAGTTATACACCTCTTTGCTTTAAAATATTTTATAATTAAGCTAAGATCATGGTTAGAATATTAGGGGAAAGTCAAGTATTCTTAAACAAGATTAAAGACAGATAGTTTAACACAATATTAAACTGTTTAACTGGGATAATGAAAACCAGCTTTGATATCAGCTACTCAGACTTTTGCAGAAAGCCAGATAAAACTTGTAACAGACAAATTCTTCAGTGAGGAAACAAGAGATGTTTCTTTAAAGACCTGAATCTGCCATGCTGGATAAATTCCACAAATACCTGGTTTCCAATACTCATGTAGTCTAATAATCAGACTGCATTTTTAATGTCCCAAACCAGAAACAGATAAGGACTGAACATAAGAAAATAAAAATGACCATATCAGGAAAAACAAAGGTCCAATTATTCAATATCCTCTCCATCAGCATGACTAGTACCAGTGCCTAAGAAACACACGGTGTGTTCCCAATTAGGAAGGTCTTTGAAGATAAGTAAAATTTTGCACCAGAGTTAAGTAAAGCTAGTGGCTAAGTTGTTGGCAAACAGGAAAAAAAGAAAAATAGAGAAAGCCAGAAAGCCACTGGAGAAAGCTAGTAAAAAGGCCTCGAGAGAGAACTGAAATGTTAGGTGAAGATGATATGTAAATGAATGACAAAATAAGAGCAATCGCTTCTCAGGCACACAACAAAAAATGACAGTCAAATATATGTTTAATGAGAAAACACCTTTATCTGGGATTTGATGCAAATCATGCAATTAAATTTTAGATGGGACTAGAAGAAATCACAGATCATAACTGCCAAATTTCAACTGGAAGGGAAGAAACCTCTCTCAAGCAGTTCAGTCTAGCCAGATCAGACTGAGCTAGAAGGATGACTGTAGCCAAGTACCCAGTAAAATCTTTGGCCCAAGTCACATAAAGGAATCTGCAGACACAAACCCTGGTTCCTCCAGAGTCCTGGTGATACTCTTGAAAATCTGCAGGGTCATAAAGGCTCCTGGCCTGCCATTTGCAAGATCCACACCCTAGGAAAAGGGGTTTTGACATAGCTACATGAACAGGCCAGCGAAAGATAAATAATGGGTGGAATAGTTCTCCTTTTGAATTCAGTGTGACCAAGGATGGGCTTTGTTATCAAGGAGAAAAGATTTGAAACACGAAAAGTTAATTGTGAAAGGGAACTTCAGTAATCCTATGAAAACTGTGAACATGGGTAAATTTGCAATATATACAGAGAGGGGAAAGTAGAGAGGATACAGACTGGGCAGCTGCAGAAGACTGTGCTGGGAGTGTTGTCTTTTGAGACTTGAGGAGCCACTGCTGAGTTCAAGCCAGACTGATAATTTTTTTTCCTTTGGATTGGGTGAAACTAACAGAGAAATGTATCTATTTTTATTACTGTGATTCCACTACAGAGACCACAGAGGCTTTGGTTATATTCTGGGCTCCTACCAAATGCCCAGGTAACACACATAACTGACATTATAGGAAATTGTACTTGGTTTTCAGCTGACTAAAGCATCAAGTAATGTGGTCGTTCCCTTTTCCACTGTCTGGAGTCCCTACCACATGTTCAGCAGGGTGCAAGTAAACGGGTCCTTCCAGCTGGGACTTTCTGACCAGCTCTGTCTTCCCTCTGAGGTACACTCACAGGACAGAGATCAAATTCACTGCAAAGCATGACCTCCAGTTGCCCTTGTAAAAGGGCACAAAAGAGGGAGTCTTTGTTCAGCACCCAAGATTTAGCAGGTCTGATACCAAGTTATCAAAAGTGCTTTTGTTGCCCATGGCAGTGTGGATAGAACTAGGTGATCTTTAAGGTCCCTTCCAACCCAAACCATTCTGTGATTCTATGATTTTCTGTTAGTCAGACTAATATTTTTTTCGTTTGCTTGTGCTTTCTCACTATGGTCCTGTACCTTGGAATTGTTACTG